CACAGCCTCTGTTCATGGGATACCATGCTAACCACTAGGCTACCGGCACCCCAAACAAGTGCATATTGACATGTTTTACGCTTAATGCGCCCAACCTTCAACATCAATCACAATAAGTAAAACCTCCACTTTCATGCAGCTGTTGGAGATTAATCAAAATTCCTTTGACCGTTATTGAACACAGTCCATCAATCAATTATCTTTGCTTTGGAAATAAGAACTTTATTTACTGTTAAAATCTCTTTGGATATACTTTTAGTAAAGGCTTCTGAGACATTACTCCGCTTCAAAACTGACGAGATGAAAAACAACCACAGCAACAGAGAGATCACAAACTACCACAAGAAACACAAAACTACAACTCAGAGAGCCAACATGGCAACAACAGATCAACACAGAAAGAAGCAGAACAGCCATGATGACACGACCTTTAAGTAAAAACAAGAGGGTCCAAAAGAAGTGTAGATGCAACTTAAGAGACACCAAAAAACATGGAAATAAATACTGAAAGCTGTCAAAGATACAAAGAAACACTAAATGTACCTGCGCTGCCCAAACACAGTTTTGTATGATTGTATTGATTGCTTTGTTATTGGTCAAAATCACATCAACTCATTCTGATTAATCAGCGATAAAAAGAGAAGAGGATTACATAAAATAAAAACCTCAATCAAATATGAACCGGAAACATTTCAAGCGTGATTTTTAGATGTTTTAAATCAGGTTTTCCAGGTGAGTCGGGGTACTTTCAGGACCCTGAAACCTTCTGCTAGCAAACACAGTCAGAGGTGAAACTCTGGGATTCTCGTACGTCAATATTTCTGTGTGTTCAGCGCTGGTTTGAGTTCATCGACCCTAAAGACCGGCAGACCTCAGAGGATCAGATCAGGTTCGCAGAGACTGTCCACATCACGGACACGAAGCGGACACACAGCTGAAGAGAAGAGACACAAAACACCTCAGACTTCACATCCGGGAGAACGGTAGGAACTGAAATCTGAGGGAATATTAAGCAGACTGGTAGAAAGGACTAATCGTTTTTTATCTGAAATCTTTTGATTTGTGATTAATGAAGTATGAAACAAAAGTCTCTGAGTAACGGATGGAGCCACTCTGACGTCAACCTTTGATTTCACAATTGTTTTCCTGGAGCCAGAAGTTACCATATTTGGGGGGGCTGGAGAGAAGTGAGCGGTTAGCAAATGCTACCTTATCAAAGGTTAGAGTCGACCTATTCTGCTGATCCCCATTTTAAACTCATACATAGTGTTTCAATGCTGGATGTCCAAACTAAACGTGGGCAAAGTTTCAGATCATGAGGTAAACCTGTTGGAGTAATCCCAGGATGAGTCTGCAGAGGGCGCTAAACAGCTTGTTCTGTAAATCACTCCATAGTCCCCGATATGAAACCAAGTATTTCACCAGACAGCTTCAAGCCTCTACGTAAGACCCTTACATAGACTCTCTTCTCCCAGCACTGGAGAGCAGCCCTGCAGCGTTCTGCCCCCCTGAAGGTCTCCAGAGAGCTGGCCAATCTGAAGAAAGTGTGCACGTCGAGAGGGGGGTCTTAAAGAGACAGCAGTTGTAACTAAGCCTGAGGGTTTGTGAGGCGGTATCAGATAAATCAGATCATGTAAAGCTGTAAGTCCATTAAAGCTCACAGAGAAACAGATTATTAGTCTGATATTTACAGGAACAAATCCAACAGCACAAACACGGCCCAGAGGTTAAAGGTCAGGGACAGACTCTAGTGGACACTGGAGGAACTGCAGTTTTTATCCACTAAAACTTTAACTTCATTTCTTGGCGCTGGAGGTTGCTGCTTTTTGGAACTGAAAGCAGACCATGTGTGAGCTAAACACAATGTGTTTCCAGGTGTTCCGGGTTGTTCCAGGTGTTCCAGGTGTTCCAGGTGTCTGTGTGTTTGTCGGGGGGGACTTGAAGCATCATGGCGGTGGGCCTGCAGGTGGTGGGTCTGCTTCTGGGCGTGGTGTCCTGGTGTCTGCAGTCCAGCTGCACCTCCTCTCAGGTGTGGAAGGTGAGGAGTCAGGCCGAGTCAGTCAGCAGCAGTCAGTGGCAGTTTGAGGGTCTGTGGATGAGCTGCGCCGCCACCTCTATGGGCTCCATTCAGTGCATCAAGTTCAAGACGGTGCTCGGGCTGCCGGGTGAGGACTCATCTTACAGACACACACATGCAAGAACTTTAACTACTTTCACACCTAGGTAGAATGCGAAACTATATGATACAATGAGACAAGATGGGAAACTATATGATACAATGAGACAAGATGGGAAACTATATGATACAATGTGATGAACTTTATTGTCCTCATGGGGAATATGCAAGACATATAGGACCCAAGAGGTCCAAGAGAAAGAGAGAAATCTCTCTTTGGTTGTAGGAAGTGTGGAATAACAAACAGCAATGAAACTCTGTAAAGTGTGATTTTTGAAATTAGATTTTTTTACAGTCCACCTGCAGGCGTGCAGAGCTCTGATGATTCTGTCCCTGCTGGTCGGTCTGGCCTCCATCATCGTCTCTGTGCTCGGACTCAAGTGCACCAAGATCGGCAGAACCTCTGAGCACGTCAAAGAGCAGATCGCTCTGGCCGGAGGAATCCTGTTCATCCTGTCAGGTTTGTGACTCCATGATTCCTCTCTGATTTAACACCTCAAATGATCATCTGTGTCAAAGTCTTTGAAGAAAACAAGGGTTGTTTATCATTCTCCATTTTTTCCACTTCTTCTCTGGATGTAGCCAATGGTTTGAGTCATGCTAAGCTAAGCTAATTGTTTTGAAGGCTTACTTTGCAACTTTCAGAGCAGATTTTCAGACCAAAACAAACGCTCTCTCTGGACACACCCCCTTCATCCCTCAGCTCCTCCCGCCCCTCCTTTCCTGTTTTCCCAGCGAGTGACACCTTCACAATGCTTTTTAAATGCATGTTTTATTTCTTGTGAACAGTGTTTAATCACATGACCGCTGGCCATTCTGTGGTATAAAATACTCAGATTGACCAACCACCTTTGAATTGTTACCTGTCCAGGTGTCTTCACTCTGATCGCAGTGTCCTGGTACGCCGCCAGAGTCATCCACGACTTCTACGACACGCTCTACGGAGGAGTCAGGTCAGTGTGTGTTTGTGTGTGTGACCTCCTGCTCACTCACTCAGTACTTTTACCTGAACAGTAAAGTTGAGCTAATATTAGAACTCACTTTGACTGTTTATTATCTAATTATCCCAATAAATCCCAATTTACCAAAAAACCAAGGGAGAATCTGTTTATTGATGGAAGTATGTCCAACTCCTCAACAGTAGGTGACCCCCTGTAGACTAGTTACTAATGGACCTACTCTCCGTTCACCTAGCTAACAAGTGATCCAACCGCAAAGTGGGGATCGTATTTCTTATGGGGAAAACATGTACGAGTCTTCAGCTCTGTACAGTTCGTACATGCTCTCGGCTTTACTTTTGGTTGAAATGCGATGCACGCTATCCCTCTCACTGATGGTCATATCTGATGGCAGACAACAACATGACCTCTGCTATGCTACGCAATTAAGCAGTTCAACATGCTCAGAACGTGTAGTCCTGTTTGGTTCTGATTGAGGTGCAAACATGTAAGAGTTAATCCCCCCCCCCATCACATTAGTTGGGTGTGTTTTTGAGAAATTCCATCAGTCAGACTAACATGTACTTTAAAAGTCCAGTTTTAGTCGGACTAACACAATAAATCTACTTTTTTAATGAGTGTGTCACTGCTGCAGGTTCGAGCTGGGTACTGGTCTATATCTGGGCTGGGCTGCCTCCTGTCTGGCCATACTGGGAGGATCGATGCTCTGCTGCTCCTGCAGGAGGACGTCCCCCGCCCCTCCTTCCCCACGGTAAACATACAGCGCCACACAGGGGGGCAGTACTGGGGTTTGTCCACAGGGGGGCCTTGTTACCCACACAGTTAGTTTTTTTATTCCACTGCCTGAGAGAACCACTAAACCCTCTTTAACTGAACAAAATAATTAAACATAAAAACGAAATAAGAAACATATAAAACACAGAAAAGCTGGTTTTTAACCATTTTTCAAAAGCATCTCCAATATTGATCCTAGTTTGAGCACGTTTCTGCTCGTGGAGCTTATTAGAAAAATGCAGAGGCTTTTTAGGTCGGGTACAATCACTTCTATCTGAACCACTTCTCTTGACCGCTTCCATCGCTGCAACACCTGTTGACCTGATAACTGCTCTCATATCTGACAAACTGAGGGGTGTCCAAAACGGCCGTGTGGGGGCGTGTCTTAAAAGCGTCTACCTTCTCTGGTCCAAACAAATCCAGAGCATTCAGGAGCAGAATCTAAAGTTAGAAGGAGGACATACTGGCTGCTGCATTGTTGTCAGAGAAGCCAGCACTTCAACATAGCATGTTTCCTTAATGATCAGAGAGTAAGATACCTTTATCATCTCACTCTCTACACATCTCACTGATTGGACCTTTAAAGGTGATGATTGATGATGGCTGGTTTTGGATAGAATGGTCACTCTGTATCATCTAGGATAGTTAAACAGACTGCACTGTGTATTTCTGTTGTGTAACGTGTGTGTACTTTGTGGTTTCCTGCAGACAGTTTTCATACAACTTCACCAAGACAAGCCAGGGACAGAACATCTACAGAGCAGCTCCGGCCTCCAACAGCGGCAGCTCCAAAGCTTACGTCTGAACACCGCAGTTTCAGATCCTTCAACTTGTTTAGACAACATTTTTTAACCACATGATTGGTATTTCCTTAAGGCACATGTGCTTTGATTTCTCATAAATCTTTTGTACTCTTCATGTCACAGTTGACAAATAAATAAAAACATTAAAAAAATGAATTATGAGATTAACAAACTTTCCAAACCGTCTTTGTTTGTTCATGTGAAGATTATCTGTGTTTTATAAATAAATGTTTCATTCATCTGTGAGAGCTTTTCCTCTGTTCCTCTCTTTTCACAAATTATATTCTAAGGAAGAATGTGCGACATGTTCCACATCAATAAATCATAAAGTCTGTCCTGTGTAAATGTGTCTCTGAGTCCTGACTGTCTACAATGAGGGAGAAGCTCGAGTCCCGCTGGCTGTGTTGTTGTCAGAGCCGTGTTTACATGGACGGGACGGCCGGCTCCTCCCCTTGTGTATAAAAGCTGTTTTAGTCAAGAACTAGAGAGAAGAAGAAGAACATACTCACTGATTATTTGGATGTTAGTAAGAGTTTTTAGATCACGCTCATTCTGTGTCAATTTACATGAAATGTGAAGCTACGAGCTAACTAAAGAGCGCTAACATTAGCATGCTAACACAACAATGTGAAGCTACAAGCTAACTAAAGAGAGCTAACATTAGCATGCTAACACAACAATTCAGGACACAGGTGATTGCAGCTGGAGGCATGGATGATTTTGTCTCCTGCTTGTTCTGAACTCTTTCATGCAAATGCGAGTGTAGAGGGGTTGGAGGTGTGTCTATGGAGGAGAGCGGAGGCTTCAGTATGGAGGAGGCGTGGCCTAACAGCAGTTTGTTTTGGTTTCATGCTGGAGCTCATCTACTGGATCAAAAAGGTCACACATTCTACCTTTAAGTCACCTGTCAGTTTAGATTTCTAATCAGACTTTTGATGACTGTTAAACAAGCGTCATTGGGAAAGAAGTAAGTATGAATGAAAACAGAATTTACATTTTTAACTGAAATCACAGATTATATTGTTTTTCAATTTTTTAGGTATTTGATAAATGTCTAGTCTAGTTATATTTATTATATCTATTTTGTATTGAACACTTCCTGGGAGGGGGTGGGTGCAGACGAAGCACTGAGGGAATGCTACTTTCAAAATCATGCTAGTTTTAGAAAATTACCAACCCTGCCTTTAATATCTAATCATATAATAAGGTCACTTTATCATTTCACTCACTACACATTATTGTCCAACTGTAAACCAATCAAACTCCTTCAGTTTCAAGGCCAGTAGTAAGAGATCTCTTCCATCAAAAACAACACGTCTTATAGAAACATATTCTGTACCAATGACTTCCTCCAGGGATGAAACATTAAGAAAAGATTGAAGTGCAAAAAGCTGCAGTTCCTCCAGTGTCCACTAGAGGCTGTCCCAATAAGTGTGACCGTCCCCATAGAGCCCCATGTGAAAATGTCTAACTTTACAGCAGAAATAAACATGTTGCATAATGTACCTGCAATGTAACATGCATGTGTTTGTAATTGTGTGTCTGATCGTATCAAACGCCGCTGAATGTGGCAGCTGGCTCTAAAAGCTCCAGCAGGCGGCGCTGCTGCTTAAGTGACGGAAACCTGTCCCATTACTAGGTCCAGGGTGTAGTGTGTGTGTGTGTGTGTGTGTGTATTAGCTGGGGGTCGTCAGCGGGAGGGAGGGGGAGGGGGGGTTGAGGAAGAGGAAAAGATGACCATTTCCTGATGCAGCTAGAAAATAAAACAAACAGGAAACAAGGAGCAGAACTCCCAACGAGGAGCGAGAGGAGACAGACAGAAAGCAAGCCATTCATACAGAACTCAGCAGAACCAGCAGAACCAGCAGAACCAAGGAGAACCCAGCAGAGAGGAGGAACCTGCAGCAGAACACAGATGTGACAGGAGCAGGAGAACATCTGTATGTGATATAAAGATTACACACACACACACACACACACACACACACACACTGTGGCAGAGATGTCACAGTCTTGAGGAGAACTTCTGGATGATAACTGAGCTTTACAAAAGCAGAATAAGGTAAGAGCTGTTTAATTTAATCTGTGTGTGAACGAGTGTGTCTGTGTTATTATTTATGATTTAAGTGGAACATTTGGATGTTGTCTGTGGATCGTTGCGGTCGATCTCAGCTTCAGGTAAACGGGCCGTAAGTCTGCAACATCATCTGCCATGGATCAAAGTGTGTCCACTAGAAGTATCTGCTCTTGATATTATTGGTGTGAGCTGTAAATGCAGGAGCTGAATACGACGCTGTAGACCGGTGAGGTAAAGAGAGAACAATGATCCTGAGGACGTAAATCTTTAAGTCGAGTGTTTGTAAGGTAACAGGAGGAAGTGATCATTATGTAATTAATGGAGTCAGACTTCCTCTTCATTTGTGGGAGAAATATGACCATGAAGTCTACTGCCTTTTGTTTCTGTGACTGAGCTGTGTTTCTGTGCACTTATGTAATGAACCACACGTCATCTTTTTACAACGTCTCTGAGCTTTCCTACATGAACGTAAACACTTTACAGCACTTTACTGTACTTTACTGCCTTACTTTACAGCAAGTAAGTTAAATTTAATACATATGGAAGAAAAAATCTGCAGATTAAAGACATGCAAAACGTATAGTTCATTAAGGCGGAAAAGTGCTGCAAAGAGACGGTAAACAGAAGTACTTCAATGCAGTAAAGTAAGGCTGTTTTGGATACCGCCTACTGCATACTGAGTTGGACAATAGTATGTAGTGTGACCGCCAGTCTGTGGTTATTCTGCAGTATACTAGACTAAGCTGGTTTATCAGTGTTGGGATGAGGAAGTAAACAACAGAAAAAAGATGAAAAGAGATTCATATAGATTTTCATGATTTAGAGAATCAACAAAGAGAACTGTTGGTCTCTTTGTGTGGTTTGGTCTGATTGTGATAATTTCCTCTGTTACGCAGCACTTTACAGCATTTTACAGCACTTTACTGTACTTTACTGCCTTACTTTACAGCACTTTACTGCACTTTACTGCCTTACTTTACAGCACTTTACTGCACTTTACTGCCTTACTTTACAGCACTTTACTGCACTTTACTGCCTTACTTTACTGCACTTTATTGCCTTACTGTAGAGCACTTTACTGTACTTTACTGCCTTACTTTACAGCACTTTGCTGCACTTTACTACCTTACTTTACAGCACTTTACAGCACTTTACAGCACTTTACTGCCTACTATTCTGGTAGCTTTTACTCATTTGGCCAACATGCAGTACTCAGTATGCAACATACCCGGATGTTGTTCTGATTCTGAAAACATTTTGCAGTCTGCATCAGACCAGTCTCCCTCGTGTACTGTTCCCACAATGCAAAGCGGCAGGTTGAGGAGATTGAAATGATGGACGTAAGCGTTCATCGTAACAGAGGAAATTATCACAATCAGATCGAACCACACAAAGAGACCAACAGTTATCTTTGTTGATTCTCTAAATCATGAAAATCTAAATGAATGTATGATTTTTAAGTTACACAAAAAGAGTGTAACTTAAAATAAATACAGATGAACTGAAAACATGAGAGACGAAGTGTGTTGAAAGAAAAGAAAGACAGAAGTGGATTGAGGAACAAGCAGAGTAAACATCAGCAATGTTTCAAAGAAGATTTACCCAGTGATGATTTCTCTTTTCCTACACATTCACAGTTTTGGGTTTCGTTTCTCTGATCTCCAAGAAACTTTCAGAAACCAGTGACAGGAGGAAAATGAAACTTCAGTCAGAGCCTGAAGTTACCCAAGAGGACTTATTCTGATAAATCTTCTTTACATTTAAAGAGACACACACACCAAAACGGAGCGTTCTGAGAGAGCTGGTTTATACAGGGTCACAAACCTCCTCTGGTGCTTGATTCATGTTATATTCTGACCAAAGCACAGCACAGATGTTTCATTTAGACCACAGGGGACTGTTTGAAAAGGTGGAGGAGGGGACTGTTTGAAAAGGTGGAGGAGGGGGGCTGTTTGAAAAGGTGGAGGAGGAGGACTGTTTGAAAAGGTGGAGGAGGAGGACTGTTTGAAAAGGTGGAGGAGGAGGACTGTTTGAAAAGGTGGAGGAGGACTGTTTGAAAAGGTGGAGGAGGACTGTTTGAAAAGGTGGAGGAGGAGGACTGTTTGAAAAGGTGGAGGAGGGGGACTGTTTGAAAAGGTGGAGGAGGGGACTGTTTGAAAAGGTGGAGGAGGGGACTGTTTGAAAAGGTGGAGGAGGGACTGTTTGAAAAGGTGGAGGAGGGGACTGTTTGAAAAGGTGGAGGAGGAGGACTGTTTGAAAAGGTGGAGGAGGACTGTTTGAAAAGGTGGAGGAAGGGGACTGTTTGAAAAGGTGGAGGAGGACTGTTTGAAAAGGTGGAGGAGGGGGACTGTTTGAAAAGGTGGAGGAGGACTGTTTGAAAAGGTGGAGGAGGGGACTGTTTGAAAAGGTGGAGGAGGACTGTTTGAAAAGGTGGAGGAGGGGACTGTTTGAAAAGGTGGAGGAGGGGGACTGTTTGAAAAGGTGGAGGAGGAGGACTGTTTGAAAAGGTGGAGGAGGACTGTTTGAAAAGGTGGAGGAAGGGACTGTTTGAAAAGGTGGAGGAGGACTGTTTGAAAAGGTGGAGGAGGACTGTTTGAAAAGGTGGAGGAGGGGACCTTAAAAGTTAGACCGGTAATGTTGGACTTTGCATACCCACACCCGGACCTGCATGAAAACAGGATGGCAGAAATGAAAAGAGGATAGGGCATTTGAACCCGAGGCTACAATAACTTCTTAATACAGCTTTTTCAGTCAGCTCCAAAATCTGATCGGACCGCGGCGGAGGAGCTGCTAGCGCTGTCGCTAACGCAGAGGGCGCGTTCACTCAGGGGCTCAGCTAATCTCTTTGGGCTGGACTGTACTAACTTCTCTTTCTTTGACCCACTGACCTGAAGAAACAAGAAACTCTCTTTTTATAAATATCTGCAGCTGCTGACTCAGCTGTGCAACATTCCCTTTGAACAGTCGTTTCAACACAAATGTTCTGTTTTCACTGTGAAGCCTCAGAGACGATTTCATCTGTCAGCATCTTTAATGTAGAGTCATCGAGACAGAATGAAGCATCACCTGGATTGATTTCAAATCTGTGTAACGGCTTTGACCTTGACTCTTACAACACACTAACATCGAGCTGAATGTTCCTGCAGAGCTTCAGGATGAGAGTCTGAAAGAAGGTCGGGGAGTGCTGGGAAACTGTGGAGACTTTTCAGGTTGATTGAGTGGACTG